GGTAAATTAACACGTTGAGAATATTGAACAATAAAAGCAAAAAAGACAAGTAAAGCCAATGTAAAACGTTTTGATGGTATCAAAGGTGGTGGAGCGTCACCATCAATAAGAATAATTGTTTTACCCTTATTCATAATCAACAAGGAACTAAAAGATTAAAAAATAAAATATCAAGTAGTATGATTAATGTGTTATGAACGACATATAGAATCTATATAGCCCTTCAATTCCTTTTTTTTTTCTAAGAACATCGAAGGACGTTTATTTGTTCTCTATCTTTTCTTACACACATATATATATATATTCTGCGTGTGTGTCGACAAGTCCAGGATCGAAAGAAAAAAATTCTCTTTTCTCTCGTCACGATGATGACGGACTGACTTTCTCTTCCTCTACGTTTCCCTATTTTCAGTCTTTTCTCAAAGAAATATAAATGCAATCGTTCGACAATATACCCGAAAGCAAGATCGTAGCGGCCTGTTGTTCAACACCCTGTCTATTATATTAGAATAAAGGAGAAGTTTTTATTTCTCTCTTCAATTTCTCGATACGATAGGAAAAAATAATAATTGGACACGTTCAAGTTAGATATGTATCTATTATTTTCTTTTCATCGATTATCGATGAAAAGATTTTTATTTATCATAGTTTCAACCTAAAATAAGGTTAACAAAAACAAAACAAGAAAACAACAACATATTTGTTTTTTTATTCATCATCTTCTTCAGTAGCAGGTTTTCTTTCTGATGATGATGATTGATCATTTCCACCCATTTTACGTAGTTCACCAAGTAATTCTGATCGTTTTACACGTTTACTCGTTGAACTTAGATCTAGAAATACAAAAATATATTTTTTTATGGAAAATATATTTATTTTTACCAAATTCTGCTGCTGTTTTTCTTCTTAAACCTTCAACTGTATCATTTTCTTCATCAGCCCATTCGAGAACTATACGACGTCCATACAAATGAGTACTATGACATAATGCTTCAAATGCATTCTTAAAAATTAAATTAATTTATTTCCTTTTCAAATAAAAAAAAAACGAGTCTTACTTTTGCATCATTTTTACTAATAAAATCAACAAAACCAAAACCACGATGATGTTCATCATCGATTTTTTTGGGTAAACGAACAAATTTAAGTTCGCCAAATACACGAAATAATTCACGTATTTCTCTTACATTAGCTTGAAATGGAATATTTTTAACTAAAATTTTACTTGTATGCTGTTCTTTTTCTATTTGACGTTTACGTTTAGTTGATTTAGTTTGTGGACTATTGACAAAACAAAAAAATAATATATTGATTTTATTTTTCTTATTTACTTTGATTTCATCGTACGTTCGGATCTTTTCAATTCTAATTCATGACCTTGAAGTTGTGAATGTTGTAATTGTTTAAGAGCTTCATTGAGTAGTTTCATTGATGAAAACTCAACAAAACCATAACCCATTGATAACAATTGACTTGGACGTTTAGGATCTTTTTTCTTCGCTACATAAGCACGACATAGACCAATAGAAGAAAAATGCTAAAAACAGAAATTATTAATAAAAGAAAAAAGTTTAATTATACATTTTGTAGATCGGCATCCGTTGTATCAAAATTAAGATTTTTTACGAATAATGTAAATGTGTCTTCTTCTGCTTCTTCTTCTTCTTTTTTCTTTTCATCTGCAATTGTTGATTTTTGTTCTTCAACAAGTGATTCAGTCTAAATAGAAAAATTTTAATAGGATTAGAATTCGACAGATTCATTTCTTACTGGTTTTTCTTCCTGTTTAATTTGTCCGGAGAGAACATTTCCTGGTGCCCATTCTAAATATAATGGTTTATTATCTTTAAATTTTCGATAGGATAATTGTTTAAATGCTTGTCGTGCTTCTTGTGGATGTTCAAATACAATTAATGCACATTGACCATAGGGTGGTAAAATAATTCGTTGTAATTTACCATATTTTTCAAATAAAATTCTTAAATCTTGATCATGTGTTTTCATCGGTAAATTTTTAGCTAAAATAACTGTTTTACTTCGTTTTGTAGTTGATAATGCTTGACTAAATGAATCTAATTGAACACCATTATCCATTAAAAATTGTCGAGTTTCATGTACAATTTGAGTTTCACCAACAGCTAATCGTACAGCTAAACTATCATTCTTTTTTGTTGAAGTAGCTATCGTTGCTTTATCAAGACCATATCGTTCACCCATTATTTCTGCAATAACATTCGACGAAAGAAATAATGTATTCCAATTTTGTTCAGATGATGTTGCAATTGCAGTAGGTGTTACTTGATTATTATTATTCGAATCAGTTGAATCTTGTTGCTGTTGTTGTTGTTGTGTTTTTCCGGGGAGAATGTGCAATAATCGCCCTTGAAAAGCACGTCCATCAAGTTCATTAAAAGCTTTTAATGCATGTTCTGGAAACATAAATGTAACATGAGCAAAACCTTTTGGTTGTTTCGTTAAACTATCAATAGGCATATTAATACTTGTTATTTGTCCAAATGGATTAAAAAGATTTTCTAAATCTTGTTCTGTTGTTCTATATGAAAGATTTCGAACAAATAATTCACCTGTTTCACCAATTGTTTCATTAATAGGTTCATAGATTTTTAATGGTTTTTTATTATTATTATTATTATTATTGTTTGTTGATCTATTTAATGCATCTTTATTCTTTATAAATGAACTTAATTCTAAATAACGATGTTCACCAGTTTTTTCTATCGTTAAAATTGATTTTTGTTTAAGCATTGCTTTATTCATATCATTTTCATTTTCTAATTCTATCCAACAAACTCCCGATAATGAATTCGTCTTTCGATTATGAATTAAACGAACACGAATAATTGATAGAGGAGAAAAAAATTGACGAATATCACGTTCTTTTGATGAATAGGGTATTCCACAAATTTTAATCAAATAACGAGGTACTAAAGATTTTTCTTCTTTTACAGGTGGCGGTAAAGAAACCGGTTGTTGTTCTTTAACAGGTTTCGGTAATTGTTTTTTATCTTCTTTAGTCTTATTCATTGAATCATTCCATATAATTTGTTCACTTGTTTTCATTGAATCAACATTTTTAACAAATTCTTTAAATTTTTCATCATCTTTAAGATCACCAAGTATTGCATCGACTAATTTATTACTTCCTTTAGTTTTGATTTTAATTTTTTTCTCATCATCATCCGACGATTTTTTTATTAGTTCAGGTTGTTGTTGAGCATATTTACTCCAGGGTCGTGGACGATTCGTATCATTTAAATCTAAACATTGTTCAACAACAATTTTTGATGTACCAATATAAGATTTATTAAGTTTATCAATGGCTCGTTGTGCTTGTTCATCATTGGCATAACCAACAAATCCAAAACGACGAAAAATACCATCTTGAGTATATTTTAATTGTAAATCAGTAATGGGTCCAAAAGCTTCAAAATGTTTACGAACATGTTCTTCTTTTACCTAGAAAAATTAAGAAATTTTATATATCACTCGATTAATTTTTTGCATACTTGTTTTGGTAAATTTTTAACAATTACTCGAGACATGATCAATAATCTAGAAAAGATAGTTTTCGTAGTACGAAACTATCAAAATGTATTTCAACGCTTTTGATTAGTACAGATGATCCTACAATTATAATTAAATATTTGATTTTTCTTAAATTCAAATAAATAAAGATAAAATAAAGTTAATTTGAATTAATTTCTGAAAATTTCTTTAGGAATCTTCTAGTATTTTCATGTATTTTCGTATAGATGTCGCATGTTTATAGTATTTTTTATATTTTATTTATTTAATATTACAAATAAAAATTATTTTTCTTTTTAAATACCAAGAAAAAACTTTATTTCTTTACATTTTAGAGCATTCGATTCAGATTTATATTCGTATTCTTTCTATTGCTTACACGCGTAATCGACGTCATCGAAAATTTTCTTGCTGGACCAATCAAATTGAGACAGCATATACTCTCATCAGCACAGAGTAAAAACACGTATGTATTACTTTAACCATTCACTTCAAATAAATACGACTCCCATTTTGTAGCAGTCTCATTCATTAACAAATCATAGATTCAGTAAACATGAAGATATTCAATATTCTTCTCCTCATCGCTACTTTTGCTCTTACATATACTTTCGCCGCTGAAGAAGACAAGAAGGAACTTGGTACTGTCATTGGTATTGATCTTGGTACAACATATTCATGTGTTGGTATTTTTAAAAACGGACGAGTTGAAATTATTGCCAATGATCAAGGTAATCGTATTACACCATCATATGTTGCATTTACAGCTGAAGGTGAACGATTAATTGGTGATGCAGCTAAAAATCAATTGACATCTAATCCAGAAAATACTGTGTATGATGCCAAACGACTTATTGGTCGTGAATATAGTGAAGCAACTGTTCAACAAGATATTAAACATTTCCCATTCAAAGTTATTGAAAAGAATTCAAAACCAATTATTCAAATCAGTACTGGTACAGAACAAAAACTCTTCACACCTGAAGAAATTTCAGCTATGGTTCTCGGAAAAATGCGTGAAATTGCTGTAAGTTTATTAATTTAATTTTCATTTTCTTATCAATATTAATATTATTATTATTATAGGAAGCTTATCTCGGAAAGAAAGTTACACATGCTGTTGTTACTGTTCCTGCTTATTTCAATGATGCACAACGTCAAGCAACAAAAGATGCTGGAACTATTTCCGGATTAAATGTTATGCGTATTATTAATGAACCAACAGCAGCAGCCATTGCCTATGGTTTAGATAAAAAGGAAGGTGAAAAGAATATTCTTGTATTTGATTTGGGTGGTGGTACATTCGATGTCTCATTATTAACAATTGATAATGGTGTATTTGAAGTTGTTGCAACCAATGGTGATACACATTTAGGTGGTGAAGATTTTGATCAACGTGTCTCGGAACATTTTATTAAATTATTTAAAAAGAAAACTGGTAAAGATGTTCGTAAAGATCTTCGTGCTGTTCAAAAACTCCGACGTGAAGTTGAAAAAGCTAAACGAACATTATCATCACAACATCAAACTAAAATTGAAATTGAATCATTCTTTGATAATGAAGATTTTAGTGAAACATTAACCCGAGCTAAATTTGAAGAATTAAATATGGATTTATTCCGCGCAACAATGAAACCAGTACAAAAAGTATTAGAAGATTCGGATTTGAAAAAAACTGATATTGCTGAAGTTGTTCTTGTTGGTGGTTCAACACGTATTCCAAAAGTACAACAATTAGTCAAAGAATTTTTTGATGGTAAAGAACCATCACGTGGTATTAATCCAGATGAAGCTGTTGCATATGGTGCTGCTGTTCAAGCTGGTGTCTTATCAGGTGAACAAGATACAGGTGATATCGTCTTACTCGATGTCAATCCATTAACTATGGGTATTGAAACAGTTGGTGGTGTTATGACCAAAATTATTCCACGTAATACTGTTATTCCAACAAAGAAAAGTCAAATTTTTTCAACAGCTGCTGAAAATCAACCAACAGTTACTATTCAAGTATTTGAAGGTGAACGACCAATGACAAAAGATAATCATGTCTTAGGTAAATTCGATTTAACTGGTATTCCACCAGCACCACGAGGTGTTCCACAAATTGAAGTTACATTTGAAATTGATGTTAATGGTATTCTTAAAGTTACTGCTGAAGATAAAGGAACAGGAAATAAAAACAATATTGTCATCAATTCAAATACTAACCGATTATCACCAGAAGATATTGATCGTATGATTAAAGATTCAGAAAAATTCGCTGATGAAGATAAGAAAGTAAAAGAACGTGTTGATGCTAAAAATGAACTTGAATCGTAAGTTTATTCTTTTGTCTATTTATTTATTCTAAAATAATTATTTTTTCTTTTTTCTTTAAAGATATGCTTATTCATTAAAAACACAATTGGCTGATAAAGAAAAACTCGGTGGAAAATTATCAAGTGATGATAAAGAAACAATTGAAAAAGCTGTTGAAGAACAAATCAAATGGCTTGAATCAAATGCTGGTGCTGAAGCTGATGAATTAAAAGAACACAAGAAAGCACTCGAAGAAATTGTGACACCAATTATGACTAAATTATATGGACAAGGCGGTGGTCCAGGAGGTGCTGGTGATGTTCCACCACCCCCACCACATGGACATGATGACGACAGCTTATAAAAAAAGACATTAGGTTAAATAAAACGATAGGAAGGTGGTCAGATTTGTCGATATTTATTTATGCTTGTTATGTCCATTCCAATTAGTCTTTTTTTCTCATTGTGTCACAAAAAATAATTGAGCATTAACTCGCTTTATGTTTATCTACTAGTGTTTTGTTTAGCTCTCCGTCATGTTTGTTTTATTTTTTTTTTGTTATTAGCATACGAAACGTGCGGTTTCTTTTTTTTTTGTTTTGTTTGGATATATCTAAATAGACAGACAAGTGAAAAAAACTATTATTCTATTCATTTGATGTATTTAATCCTTTGTTAAATGCCAAGATAGACTTGACCTTAGGATTAAAAACCTTGAACATGGATAAAAAAGATAAATAATTTCGAACTTTTTTTTATTTTATCACTAATAATCGGCACTAATAACAATGATTCTATTGAATAACACAAAAAAAAATCAAGCACCATTTAACAAATTTCCTAAGAAATAACAGATAATATTAATGAAATTGTTGTTGTTGATAAGTATTTTGATTAGCTACATAGCGATAATCAATTCGATTTGATGATGAAGGTTGTTGGTATTGTGGTGGTGGTGGGTGTGAGTGTGGTTGATCAAATCGAGGTCTTTTATTTGCCCATGATTGTCTTGGATTATAATAATTATTATTATAATTATTATTTTGTGGATAAGGACGTTTATTATATTCATTAACAAAATTTTGATTTTCTATAGAAAGAAAGAAAGAAATGAAAAAGAATTTCAAGATTAAAAATTACACATACGTGGACGAAATGATGTTGGTAGATGAAAATTATTTTGAGGATAGGATTGATTAGGATTAAACGGACGAGGTTGATAATGTCTTGGCTGATTGAATTGTCCTGGATTGAAATGTTGACCATTTTGTTGATGAAAATTACCACCTCGTGGTCGAAATCCTTGACCACGAAATGGTTGTCCTCCACGACCACCACGTCCTCTTCCTCTTCCACCGCCGCCGCCACCACGATTGAATCGATTATTATTTCCTTGTTGATTTTGAATATTATGCATAACTTGTTGAGCAAGTTGTGTATCAAAACGAACTATATCTTCTTGAAGATTTTCAATTGTCATCGGTTCAAGATTATATTTTAATCGATATTCATCTGGTGTTTTAACCATCTGTTGAATACCACCATTACGTTGTTCATGAGATAATTGATTGAAATTCAAATAAGTCTAAAAAATACAATTGATATAAGAACAAAATATTGACTTTTTCTATTTACAACAAGACGTGATAAATTATCCAGATCATTTTGATGACGTTTACGTAATATATCACGATGATTTTTCCAAGCAAGATGCTAGAAATAATAATTGAGAATATTTGCAGAATAAATATTCAATTACTTTTTCAAGTGAATATGTCGATTCAAATGATTTTTTACAAAATGTGCAATAATACGCATTTTTAAGAGTTTTATGTGATGGTGGAAGTCGATAAGCATTAACACGTGATCGATAATAATTCAATTTATCTATATCAATAAATTGATTTAATAAACGACCAGTAAATAAACTCTATAAAATAAAATAAATTCAAATTATTCTAGAATAAGAATGTTACATGTTGAACAGCTCGTCGATATGGTGGAAGATGTTTGAGATTTTTTTCATGTTTTTCACTTGTTTCAAAATGCTTTATGAAGAGAAAAAACAAAAAAATATATAATTATTTTCATTCAATCAATTTACACAAATTATTGCTTTTCGTTTCCGAAAACATTGTTTACACATATCACACCTTAACAAACAAAAAAGATATGTTTTTCTTTATGAGAAAAACAAGTATTGAATACAAACCAAAAACCTGGTTTGGTTTCTTGACGATGAAACATACGCCATGTTTGAATGGAATGTCCTATTAAACGTTCACGTTCCGGTTCAACATTTGTAAACACACAAAAGTCTAATACTTCCTAGAAAAAAAAACACCATCAATTTTTAATATATTGAATATGTTTGTCTTACTTTAATAATTTGTTCATCAGATTTTCCTGTATCATCGCAATAACGTGGTACAGTCCATACATTTTCTACTTCTTTTCGACAGATATCTAAATTCAATATATCATATTATATTAATTTCATCAAAAGAAATTTTTTTCAGTACCTCTTGCAACAAAAAAACTTTGTGGTGGCATTTTTAATTGATATTTTTCATAATCTTGATTGAATTTATTCACAAGAACTTGATATAAATCATTTAATGTTGATGCATGTTGATATTCATATTTATTATTATTATATTCAAGTGAACCACTGACACTAAAATCAACAGGTTGAATATTAATTTGAATACTTTCAAATGGAATCTAAATGTTTGTTTTAATAAATATGATTTTATATTTATTCAAAATAATTTTTTACTTTATTATAAAGTAATAAATTAACAAATACTTCAACCGGTGAAGTTTCAATTGTGCATCCTTCCTTATAATCAAAAAGATAGTTTTTTTTCTGAATGAATTAAAATTACAATCATACCCCAAGACGTTTCTTTTCATCACGTCGTTTGTATCGATGTTCAGTGGAAACAAAATGTTCACGATATCCTTCGAATTTACTGAAGGATACGGCACATAATGTACAAGTAAATGGTTTTATCTGACCATCATCAATAGGTACTTCTTCTTCAATAGATTCTATTTCTTCTTCTTCCTCTTCATGATCATCTCCTATTTCCTCATCTTCAGCTGTAATGCTTCTAAAAAATAGAAATAAAGTTTACTTCAAAAAATTTGTTTTTTTTGCTCCTACTCTTCATCATCAGGATCTAATAAAGCTTGATATCCTTGTGGTTGATCTTCTTCACTTTCATTATTCCATTCATCATCTTCATCATCATTTGCAAACATTGTTCTTTTCTATCTACAATTGTAAAAATACATTTTTTTGTTTGTTCGAATTTTACTTTTTCTAAAAGAAGAATGAGATTTATTAACTTATTTTAACAATAACAATAAAATATTTAAATATATATCAATTTAATCTAATTCAATAGTAGATGATGTACGTTGCATTAATTTCTTTGCACCATTTGCTAAATATGTAAATTGAATTTATCTTAAGAATAATTTCGATAAAAAAATAACTTACCACTAACTTTACATACTTCACAATCAATTTTAAATTCAACTAATTTATCAAGCCAAACTAGTTGATGAAATGAAAGACGATCATTATGACTTTTAACTTCAACAAACTAATGAAGAAATAAAATTTTGCGATACAATTCTTTGTTTTTTTATTACTTTGCACTTTTTCGCTATGGGATTCCATACGAATAAATCAGGAAAACCTTTCCATGCAGCACGATTATGTACAAATGTATAGATTGACATCGATTGAATTTGTTCCGGTGTTAAACATTTTAAAGCACTCTACAATAAAAAGAAAATTTAAGATCTATGAAAGATTAAAATTTTTACTAATAAAGTTGTTTTCGTTTGAAATAATTCCCAATTAACAACTGAACTCATTGTTAAATTGTACATTTCCCAATTTTTTTCAGCAATTTCTTCAATATTCTAAATTTATCATACGATACAATTAAACAGCATCAACTCTTAATGAATTCTTACTTCTTCAGAATTTAGTTGACTTATCCGTTCATCAATCTGACTTTTTCGGGATTTATAAAATGCGTCAGTTTGAAAATCTAACGGTTCTGTTTGAAATATATCAATAAGTAAATCTGGCGTGGGTAATATATAAATTAAATCAAGAAATAAAAGACCAATTAATGTTCGAATAACAGCTCCTTCCGAATGAATACCATAAGTATAATCTTCTTCAGTTCGATAATGATGAATAGCTAATTGTTCAACATTACAAAATTGAATTGAACCATCAACTGGATCTTGTATTGTATATGTTACTTTACCCATTCGTGCATCATTTGCTAATAAACGTCCTGTTACTTCAATCTAATTGATTTAAAATTAAAATTTTTTTTCTTAAATAAAAAATCTTCACTTCTTTTGGTTGTGGAACAGTCCACATTAAATTATCTTCTTCATCTGTTATCCATGTAGCTAAAAGTATTCCTTTTGATTTTGGTCGAGAAAATAATTTTCTTGCACGTTCACATAATCCAAGACGATCACCTAATGTAACATACGGATCTTGTAATGCTTCCTGGATTGTATTTAAACATTGTTGATGACCATTAGGTTTAACATAATTTTCTTGCATAAGTGCTAGACGATTCCATAATTTACCTCGACGATAACGATTATACATTGTTCGACCTAAACTAAATTTGTTGAAAACGAAAAATTAAAAAAACAAAAAATACTTAATAAATATTGAATTAATTCAATTGCTTCATCATAACGTCGAGCTCGTTGTAAAACTTCAGTTAAATGCGATAGAATACGAGCACGAACATAATCGGGAGAAAACCGACGAAAATAACCAGGTAATTGTTCACTATAATTATATTATATATTAAATTGAATTATTTTAAAGAAGACAAAATATACTTTTCACTCGATGAATCAATCATTTCACGCCATTGTTCATTATAAGTTTCATAGAAATGAATTAAATCATCGAGATTTTTCGATTCTTCTAATTGATGATATTCTGTTTGTAGATCAATTGCTTTCTGATAACTTTATAACAAGAAAAAAAAAGTCACGATAGAATTCTTTCATCACCTATTTTCATTAAATCGAAATAAATTATTAAACATTAGTTTTGTAATTAGTTTTTTTTCTGACATTTGCTTTATGTACTATGATTAATAATTTATTTCAAACTAAAAAGGAATCTATTAATATCTTACAGTTGTAATTGTTCAGGTGTTTTAAATGGTAAATGTTCATGACTAATTTGATCTTCATTCCATGGAAGTCGAAGTTGTCCACGAATGATTTGAAGTGTTTTATACCTAAAAAATTCTTTTTATGAAAAACAAAATTATTGATTTTATAAGTAAATATTACAATAGAGTAAAACCATTTTGATCAAGATCATCCATTGCTAAAAGAGCTACGGGATGATAAGTTAACATCATTCGAAAGAATAATCCACGAATATCTTCAGATATTTTATAACAATTAATTATTATTCGTTTTAATCTATAGAAAATAAAATTTTGTCTTTTGTTTTTTAATTAAATTTAAATAACGAAACTCTTTTAATAGAAGATGATCACGATTTGTTGCTGTTGTTGAACCAAACATTGATTTATATTGGTTTGTTAGACTTTTTAAATTTTCAATGGAAGTTTTTTTTGATTTATTCGTTTTCGATTGACAATGAAAACGTTTAGAAAAATCACGCATTTCATCACTAGTTAATAAACGAAGACCAGCATCAAGATCATCTAACGATGATACTTTAAAAATAGCAAATTTTTATGAAATATTCTATATAAATTTCAATTAAAATTTCTTACTATCTTGTAATAAACCTATTTGTACAAGTGAAATTAAATTATCTGTATCATTCGATATATCTGATATTTCATAATTAATAGTTGAACGTCGAAGCCATTTACAACGACGCATTAATAAACGAACAAAAATAATTTGTGATGAAGCTGAAAAAAATATTTAATATTCAAAATTTGTAAACAAGAAAAAACTAACCAGATAATGTTTGAAATTTATCAAATAATATTAATTCATTTTCATTAAATAAACATTTATGATGTTTGAGTAGAGATGAAAGAATTAATAAAAATTTGTCCAAATAAAATTGATTTAAGGAAAAATTAGTTTCAGTATTTTCAGTACTTTGAGAATTTTCATTACTATTTACTGTACTTAAATCTGACTTTACTCGTTTTAATTTTTTATTATTTTCATTATCATTTGTTAATAATCGTTTCTTTGTTTGTTCATTTGATGTTGTTGTTGTATCAGTTGATCCATCATCATCATTATTATCGGCTAATTTACTAGTTGTTGCTGATTTTTTAATTGTAAAAAATTTATCCAATCGACTTTGTTGCATTTGTAGATATTCTCTATAACCATCAATTCTATTCGTTCTTAAGAAAAAATAGTATCGACTTTTTTTTTCCAAAGATAAATATATTTTATTCATATATTTTTATGTTTCAAAGAGAAAAAAAAAGAAAGAAGAATTATAAAATATAAAAGTTTGACGACGATAAATATATATATAGACAACCACCAAGAGTACACATGTGTACATATTATGGGCATATACACAAAAAGAAAACAAAACGGCTGTATATGATCTACTATGTCTAGTGAAAATTATGCGAAAAAGAAAGCAAAATTGCACAAAAGAAAAAGGCAGCAGCAGCATGATGACGAATGACTAGAAGAAAGAGAGAGAGAGACAAAGACAAAGAGAGAGAGAGAGAAAAAAATCATACTGTAAATCAAAGTAAAATTAACTCGTAAAAGAAAGAAAATTGCACGCACATAGACAAAAACAACAATGAAATGACTAGAGTGTTCATAGAGAGTATGAAATTATGCGTTTTAAAAGTTACATGTCGGTTTGATCTGTTATAATTTTATTCGAACGAATTGTTGCTGGTGATTTCTGCTGAGGATTTGGCGTTGAATTTGATGTTAAAACAGGTGCTGATGATGGTACCGTTGTTAATGATTGTGATGTTGCTGTAGTTGGTGACATATGTAATGATTGAAATGGTGATGGTGTTGGATTTCGTTTTGTATCTATATGTGGTATTGGCATATGATCAGTTTTAACAACTGTAATTGTTGATGATACAGTATCATTTGTTAATGATTGATGAGATAATATAGGTGTCATTGGTAATGGTTGTTTTAAATTAACAGGTAAATCATCACGTAATGCACGTCTACCATCATTAGCATCATCTTTAGGTACTTCACCACGTTCTAAACAACGCCATTCAAGATTTCGATATGAAAAATCTTTAAATTCCTCTTGATTTATTGCTTTAACAATAACAGCTTCAATTGGTGTAAATGCTACAGGCATATTTGTAAAATCTTTATCGAAATTACTTGTATCTCGTGGATTAACCTATAAATAATTTTTTTCGTTGTCACGGAAGCAAAGTAAAATATTTTTTATTTTACATACCACTTTAGGTTTGAATGGTGGTTTAACTTGTCGACGTTCTAATGCTTCCCAATCAAGTTTACCAGCAAAAAATGCATGACGTTTTATAGCTTCTTCGCCACCTTGTGCTGCAACACAACCAAGACGTTTAGCAGGATTTTTTGTCATAAACTAAATAAGATAATTGATTTCTTTTTTTCTTGTATATAATTTCTCATTTTATATTTACTGATTTAAGAATATGTACGGCTTCTTTAGATAACCAAACAGGATAAAGAACTTCATCACGTAAAATCGATTCAAATAAACTATCTTCATCATCTGCTTCAAATGGTGGTTGACCAGCCATCATTTCATACATTAATACTCCTAATGCCCACCAATCAACAGAAAATGAATAATCAAGCTCTTGAAGAATTTCCGGTGCAATATAATCTAATAAAAATCAAAGATAAAAATAAGAAATACACAACGAATAGAATCATACCGGGTGTACCACAAAATGTAGATGTTAATTTACCATCAAATATACCTTCTTTGCACATACCAAAACTAAAATAAATCAATCAATAGTCTTTTTTTTGCTAGCGACAATATATTTTGTTATATTACACACACCCAATTGATTAATATTAGAGAACAGTTATACTTTATCTTAAACAATCGACTATTTTTACATGCAATGTCGTTTTTATTGATCTTTATACTAACAATTTTTTTAAGCAATCGGAAATCAATTACATCGAGCATATCCTCATAACGTCTTTTTAGTTTTTCTATGATGATACATATCTTAATAATAATTGAAATCGATAGA